TGGGGCTAAAAACGAGGCGGCGCCGGCGGGGGAGCGTGTAGGGGATGCGACTGGGGGCGGGGCCAGAATTGGGGTTGGAGCCAAGCCCCTCACCTGTGCCCAGGTGGGCTCCAGCTAGCTGTGGGGCCTGGGAGGAGGCCTACACCCGAGTGAAACGACAGGTGTCCGGGCCCCCACGACCTAATCTTTGTCATCCACTCTGGCGGAGCTGAGGCTCTGCTGACCAGAGAAAGGGCTGCCACCCGCCCCTTACACCCTCTGGGGTTCCCCGGCCCCTCACAGGTGTTGTAGGCCTTCTTGTGGGACAGGATTTCCACTACTTCCTTCTTCCTGAAGGGCTCAGGCCCAGGCACCGGCTCTGGAAGGGAAACTGGACAGCTTGAAGAGGGGGGCCTAGGCTGAGGCTGCCGTGGGAGGGCCCAGGAGTTGTGTGGCCACAGCAGACAGCCAAGATCGCCTTAGGCATGACTTTGACTGCATCCACTCTGGGTGTCCACAGTCCCCTGCTTCCTCCACTCGTGGGCCCTCAGGTCTAGTCAAACACACAGCATATGGCATGTGTGTCCATCCTTCCATCCACGACCATCTCCTCAAACGCCTTCTGTTTCCTGGGCCTTTGAGACTGAGCTGGCAGAGCTCTCAACCCTTCAGATGATTCCTGAATGGACAAGGACCCCTCTCCTTCATCCTGGGACCACCTGCCACACACAACAACCCTGGCTGTTTGGAGACACACCCAACAACTACAGGGAGATACCCAGGAAAGGGCGAGGGTGAGGAAGCCCGGAAGATATATTTTGGGATGCCTCCTGTCCACCCTATTCTGGTTGTGTGACTCTGAGAAATTACCTAGCCTCCCTGTGCTTCCTCAGTAGGAAATGCGGGATCACAGTATCTACCTCACAGAGATGTCATGGGATTAATTCAGAGTGCCTGGTATGTGGTCAGGACACAATAAATGCTAGCTGTTGTTATGATCTCCACTTTCGAGATGGGAAAACTGAGGCTCCAAGCAGTTAAATAACTTAGGTCTTGAAGGTCTGAAGACACATTAGGTGATTAGCAGTCGGTGTAGCCCTTGGGAAATACTAAGCGTGAGGATGCCACAGAAGGCAGGAGGTGGACTGCCCCTGATGGCGTGGTGTCTGGGGCTCCCCCAGGGCCATCAGGCCACTCACTAGTAGGTTTCTGGGTGCCAAAGTGGAGCTCCAGGTCGAGATATTTCACCATGTCGCTCAGCTTATCGTAGTCAGAGTCTTCCCCAAGCTGTGAGGGAGGGTGGGGAGTTTGGAGGAGGAGGAACAGCAGCAGCCAGATGCCCTTCCCAGAACCCCCACCCTCTGAGGGCTGTCTGATGGGGAGAGCACCCATCAGGCCCTGGGATGGAGCCAAGAGCAGGGGAGACTGCAGATCACCCAAGTCATCGGGTGGCAAGCTGGCTTCTCGTGGCCAGTTGTACAGTCATCTTTGGACTCCTGGTCACACAGAAGTCAGCAGCTGGGGCTGCAGCAGGCGCATAAGGGAGCTGCAAAGGGGCTAGAACTGACTAAAGGGGTCACAGGGGTGGTCAAAGTGTCTGGCCCTGTTTTCAGGTCTCCTTTGCAGGAAGTGAGTTCACCGGAAGTGCCCTGGGCAGAGTGAGCTGGTGATGGGCGAACCGAAGCTGGGAAGACCTAGGGGCTGGATGCTGGACACATGGCTGTGATGAGGGCAGGGACATCTGGCATGGATTCAGACCTGGCCAGATGTGTGGCCTGTGTCCCTGTGTCAACCTTGGGTTACCGATAGAAGAACCACACTGTGGAGCGAGGCCTGATGACCCATCAAAGGCTGGCCAGTAGGTTCGTGGCCTGTTCATGGCTCTGTCCCACTG